AAAAAAAAAAAAAAAAAAAAAAAAAAAAAAAAAAAAAATATTGAAGATACCTCCAAGCATGACTGTTTTCATGCCTATGGGAACACTATAGTTAATTGAACACTAGATCTTATTTGATACATTAATGAAGAAGCATATTACTATATCACATTTGTTTTCCAGTAGTTGTATTACCTTGTGTGTCAGTATAATTGATTTCGTTTGTAATCCCTGTGTTGTTTATATTATGCTTGTACAACATTTTGAGAAGGGCCTGTAACTTCACCATACTCTGAAAGGAGTCCATGGCAGAGAAATGGTTAGTTAGAGTCCCTGCCATAGTCTGTAAACTTTCCATTCATTTACTTTCGGCTCCTTTGTTACCCTGTCCCTAGCTCAGTGCCTGACAAGTCCTCTCAATCAGTATACTTTGAATGAATGACAAAAAAGAGGTTTGAGGTGTAGTTGGTTTGTTGATTAATTTGACTCCTTACTCTGAGAGTAACTTTAGTTGAGGGACCTTCTCTTTCCTTGATTTATCTAATCAGTGTTTGTAGAATATTTACTGTGACAGGAGGTATTCTAGGCTCCTTGGAGTTTATCTTCTAGGAAAGGAGACAGCAACATGTAAACAAATCTTGTAAAGCCAGCCAGATAATTTCAGATGGTGACAAGTGCTTTAGAGCTGTGGTCCCCCTGGCCTGTTAGGAAAACAGGGACGTGCATCACCTCCTGAGCTCTACTTCCCCGCCATGCCCCACCTTGTAAAAATTGTCTTTCCATGAAATGGGTCCCTGGTGCCAAAAAAGGTTGGGGACCGCTGCTTTAGAGGAAATCCAGCAGAGTTATTTGATCTGGGAAGCAAGACAGGGGTTGGGGTGGGAGTGACAACCTGGGGGACAGAAGCTACTGAGGCTTTGGGGAGAAGGCGTTGGCATTGCATTGTGTGATTTGGAGTGTTTTGTTTTGTTTTGTTTTCCAATGAAACTTTATTGGAAGTTTTGGAAGTCAGTCCCAGGCCGGGCCTGGTGGCTCTCGCCTATAATCCTAGCACTCTGGGAGGCCCAGGCAGGCAGATCGCTCAAGGTCAGGAGTTCGAAACCAGCCTAAGCAAGAGCAAGACCCCCGTCTCTACTAAAAATAGAAAGAAATTAATTGGCCAACTAAAAATATATAGAAAAAATTAGCCGGGCATGGTGGCGCATGTCTATAATCCCAGCTACTTGGGAGGCTGAGGCAGAAGGATCACTTGAGCCCAGGAGTTGGAGGTTGCTGTGAGCTAGGCTGACGCCACGGCACTCTAGCCCAGGCAACAGAGTGAGACTCTGTCTCAAAAAAAAAAAAAAAAAAAGAAGTCCCAATAGAAGTTTGAAGTTCATATAATTTTTATGTGTCATGCAATATTCTTTTTCTTTTGATTTTGTTCAACCTGATTTATGTTTTTAAAGGGTGACTGGCCACTGTGTGGAGAAGAAGACCGGAGAATAGGCTAGTAAGGTGGTCCAGGCAAGAGACGGTGAATGGTGTGGATTGGAGTGTTAGCATAATATAGGTCATGACATTAGAGCACGTAGCACAAGGCTGGGCACCTTGTCGGAACTCAGTAAACAATAGTTCCTGTCCTTGGGTAACCCCATAACTCCCCTAACTAGGGCCTAGAATTAGTTCCAGCCACAAGCAAATATGTAGCAAATCAGATCATGTATAATAGGCTCAAAAGCATAGAGTAGCTTCTAACTCACAGTAAAAGCTTAAGACCCTACACAGTCTCGTCCCCACCACCTCACTGACTGTAGACTCTGGTTTGTCTCCTGTCCAGCTCTGTCCCAGTGTTGAGGTCCTCTCTGCCAAGGCCTCTCTTGCACCTCAGGGCCTTTGCACGGCCTGTTCTCTCTACCTGGGAAGCTCTACCCCCCCACATGGTGTGCATCCTCACTTCCTGTAGTTCTGCTCACATATTACCTTTTCAGTGAGGCTCTGCTGTCTGTCTTGTTTCAAATTATGATTCTACCATGCCCAGCATTTCTTCATCCTCTTTTCTGCTTTAGTTTTCTCAATAGCGATTACTGCCTGCTGACATGCTGTGACATTTACTGTGTGTGAGAGTCAGCTCCATGAGGCACAAACTGCTGTCTGTTGTGTTCGCTGCTGCAGCCCCAGCGCGTGCGCAGTCCTGGCGTAGAGTGAGCACTCAGGTGTTTGTTAATCAAAGGAGTGCTCACTCAGCACCCAGTGTCACCATAAGGATGGCCTTGTTCCTACCCCCAAGGGCCTGGAAAATAGTGCCACAGTTAAGCAAAGCGCCAAAGCAGGAAAAAGGGGAGCATCCCAAACAGATGACAGTGGCATTTTTAGATCTGCTTTTTGAGGCTCAAGGTGGATCTTTAAAACCAAGCAAGAGATGTGACTTGGCATTAAATGTTTAAAAAAAAAAAAATTTTAAAAAGAGGCAACAAAAACAGCGCATTACTCATTCATTTCGTTCTTCTTTAAGTTAAAAAAAAAAGTCTCTACCAAGAAGAGGAAGCCCTGGAGAAAAAAAAAGAATAAATAAAAAAGAAAAAAAAAATCTCTCTGGTAACTAGGTAGAGAACAGTCTGGTTGTGGGACTAAGGGTTGTAGAGTGGAGCCTGGGAGAATAGTGAAGATTATTTAATTTCATCTGCATAATCTTCTAAGGTTTCTGTGGTTATCTTCACGTGGCAGATGAGAAAAACCTAAGGCTCAGAGAGGTTATGTTATTTATCCAAGGTCACACAGTAAATGGCAGCATTTGGCTCCAGACTCAGCTTGTGCTCTCTGTTGTGCTCTTATGCATGCAACTTGGGCTTGCCCGGACTTGCTTTTCTGCCCCTCTTATACTCATTACTTGCTGGTTTATATCAAGCCACAAGCCAAGCAAATCACGAGTGTTTTGTACAAGTTGCTAAGCTTCTTACTGTTCCTTGGTGTTTTTGATCCACATGTATATTGGTTTGTTTTTTATTCCTACATTTTGTTTTGCTTGCCTGATTTCCCTTTGTATGAAATATTTTGTTTTATTGTCACAGACTAATGAGAAAAGGAGTGGGGCTTAATATTAACATGTACATGAAGCATTGAAGACCAGGGAAAGCCAGGTGACCTGACCTCAGGGCACCCAGCAGAGTCAAAAAGGTTTTGAATTCGTCTCAATGGAGAAAAATAGTAGGAAAAGTACAGGTGAACCTGTTAGGCTCTTCTGCCATATTAGGTGGTTTGGTTTCAGCAAATCAACGTCATCTTTCACATTAAATTAACATTCCTAATTTCAACTGCATTGGTTTTGTGGTCTTATTTGTATTTAGTTTGGAAACGTGTTCATTGCAAAGTAGGCTCTGTAGTTGTCTGAGAATTGTAACCATCTGGAGTCGATACCTAGTGTTAGGACTGTAATATTTGTCATGTTATAATAAAAGAAATTTGGATCAACTCAATCCAGAAAAACGCTGGGCCGGAAGATCTTTAAGGTCTCTCCCAGCCCTGAGGGTCTGTGATTGTGCAAATCTTGCATAGCAGCTGTGTGGCTGCTCCTGCCGCATTGCTTGGGGTTTTGAAATCTTTTGCAGACTTAGCTTGTTTTAGCTCAATCTAGGTTCTCTCTGCAAGGGCCCAGGAGCCTCCTCTTTGGAACTTGAGCTCGCTGATGTTACCCAAAGATAAGAGAGATTGCTGATTGACCTTCCTTCTGAGTTTAACAAAGTCGGTTAACCTCAGAGAGATCTCTTTTTCCTGTATGCTTACCAGTCCCGTCATTGAAAGGGAATTTAAAAAAATCTGAACACCTGCAGGATTCGGGTTCTGTTAAAAAGCAAAACTCTACACTTTTGCGAATAGGAAAGGTGGGAGGGATAGAGAAACTAAAAATAATCTTCCTGCATCATGGCCCCAAAGCGGATCCACCCAGATGATTGCCTAACTTGTTTTTTCTTTTGCAGATATTTTTCTCATTTCTATATCATCTCAGTGCTGTGGAACGGCTTCCTGCTCTGGTGCCTTACTCAATCTCTGTTCCTGGGAGCACCTTTTCCAAACTGGCTTCACAGTTTGCTCAGAATTCTTGGGGCTGCACAGTTCCAAGGTAACAACCCTGTGGCTCTTTGCAACACTGCACTCTGTTCCCATTGTTCCTGTCTGCAGGACAGCGGGATGTCGCCTCTTACACCCTCCTCAGCAGGGCCTGGGAGTGAAAGCTGGGGGCAAAAAGAGCTTTGCATGGTTCATCGCTGGATGGCCAAAGGGATGTCCCCAAGTCCTTCCCTGAGCTCACAACAGGGCCAAGAGTCCGTGTTCCATCTCCTGACTTCCCAGCAAGTGCTGTGCTCTGCACAGGACTGGCTGTTCTCCCTCTGATATTTTTAGTACCGTTGATAAATTTATAAAGAAGTCTTTACCCATCGTAGGGAGGAAGCTTTTAAGATCCCATAGGTTTGCCTTGAAACATTTATCGTTTATATTGTTGCAACAAAAATCATGTCTCAGAACTCCAGAAATTTGATAAAAAATTACTTGTTGATAAACGTCTAAAAAGATTTGTCATGCTGTGAGGCTCTGGTTAGATAATAAAATTCAGTGTAAATAGTTTTTGACCAGATGATTACAAGAGAGCCTTTAAATTTGCCATACTCAGCAGGAGATAAAGGCTTTGCAGGAACAGTTTTTAACATAAAGAATTGAAGGCGAAAACCATGAAGTGGCCTCAGTTACAGTGGGGGGGGGGCAGCGTTAAAGATGGATTGTTCTGGTCCTATCTCTGTCCTTTGTTCCAGCAGCCAAATGACTGACTCCCTAGGAACAATCCTTTTCTGTTGAACCAGAGGGACTGATTGCAAAAGATGCCTCTCAGAAAACCCATGTCCAGTCCCATCTGGGAGGGGACCCCACTTCATTCATTAACCCTTCACCTCCTTGTTTGTCTCCTGTGGGACTGGCTGGTGCTTTGGTATCTGGGGGGGTTGGTTGTGAGCAGTTTTATTTGCCTGGTTGCCTTAACCTGTTCCTAAAGAGTTAAAACTAAGCTTGGGTTTATTTAAAATACACAAACAGGCTAAGCTCATCTGTTGTTAGAAGTAATGATAGAGACTGTTGGCCCTGGGAGGGTGGGGGAGGGGCACAGTGCCTGGAGGGGACACTAAAGTGCTGGTCACCAAGTTTCTTGATCTTGGTGCTGATAGGTGGGCAGGATGGGCTGGTTTAGTTTGTAAAAGGTCACTAGGCTGTATCTTTATTGGGGGGGGGCATGGCTGTGTAACTTATTTAAAAAAAAAATCTAGGGCCAGGCACAGTGGCTCACGCCTGTAATCCTAGCACTCTGGGAGGCCGAGGCGGGCGGATCGCTCAAGATCAGGAGTTCGAAACCAGCCTGAGCAAGAGCAAGACCCCATCTCTACTAAAAATTAGAAAGAAATTAATTGGCCAACTAAAAATATTTAGAAAAAAATTAGCTGGGCATGGTGGCACATGCCTGTAGTCCCAGCTACTCGGGAGGCTGAGGCAGGAGGATCGCTTGAGCCCAGGAGATTGAGGTTGCTGTGAGCTAGGCTGACACCATGGCACTGTAGCCCGGGCAACAAAGTAAAACTCTGTCTCAAAAATAAAAAAACTAGGTTTTATGTTTTTTAAAACCAGCTTTTCTTTGTACTTCTTTGGAGACAGGGAGGTGAGAAGGGTGAGAGACAGGTAAGAAGATCTTGGGGTAGAAGATCTTGTAGATCTTGGGGCTCACTGTCCCCTTAAAAGTATAATTTTCTTTTTTTTTTTTAATATGGAAAGAAGTGCATGACACTGTTCCTGTTCCCATCTCCCCCTCTGCCTCTGTGGGCGCCTGTGACAGGGACCCCAGCAGGGGGGCCTGCCCAGAGGCTACCAGGAACTAACTCTTCGCAGCTGTTTGCATCTGGCTGTTAGCGCCAGGACCCAGAGACCGAAACCCCCTCCACAGCGATGGCCAGATGGCCACGTAGCCTGCAAAGCTGCCACGTGGTGAAGCAGATCAAGAGTCAGTGTTTGTCCCAGCCCTGTCCCTAACTTACTGTGTAACCTTGAGCCAAGCCCCTTGACTTCCTTTGGCCCATTTCTTTATTGTGAAAAAAAGGAAGGAGTTAGACGGGGTGATTTCTAGGCGATTGGCCCTTTCCTAGCTCCATACCGGTTTAATACTCTGTTTAACAGTAGAGCAAAGCAAACTGGATTAGTCCCAGAAGATGCTGAACGTGTTGCCTTCTGCATTGCAGGCGGTGAGCTGGCGCTGTCCGCATTCTTAGTGCTCGTGTTTCTGTGGCTGCACAGCCTTCGACGACTCTTCGAGTGCTTCTACGTCAGCGTGTTCTCCAATGCCGTGATTCACGTCATGCAGTACTGCTTTGGCCTTGCCTACTACGTGCTCGTGGGCCTCACCGTGCTGAGCCAGGTGCCGCTGGACGGCAGGCATGGTGAGTGGCCCCGCCAGGACCTCGGGCAGAGTCCCCCACCGAGCACGGTGAGGAGTTCAAAAGCAAGAGACAGGCCTGGTCCGGTTTGCATTTGAGGACGCTAGACTCTTCTAGCAGATTTAAAAAGTCAACATGAGCCAGACGCAGTGGCTCACGCCTGTAATCCTAGCACTCTGGGAGGCCGAGGCAGGCGGATTGCTCAAGGTCAGGAGTTCGAAACCAGCCTGAGCAAGAGCGAGACCCCGTCTCTACTATAAGTAGAAAGAAATTAATTGGCCAGCTAATATATATAGAAAAAAATTAGCCAGGCATGGTGGTGCATGCCTGTAGTCCCAGCTACTCAGGAGGCTGAGGCAGGAGGATCACTTGAGCCCAGGAGTTTGAGGTTGCTGTGAGCTAGGCTGACACCACAGCACTCACTCTAGCCTGGGCAACAAAGCAAGACTCTGTCTCAAATAAAAAAATTAATAAATAAAAAGTCAACATGCCCAAGGGTACATATGTTTACCATAACTGCAGACACCTTAGAGACACCAACACAAGCAGTCATGCCCTCAGGAAGGACAGTGAGGAGGCTTGGGTTCAGGTGTGTGGGGTTTCCGGTGGGAACAGACATCAGTGAACCCAGGTGGGGTTTGGGGAGTGGCCAGTTGCTGAGCAGGAAGCTGGAAGCACCTAGAGCAGGAGGAGGGGTCAGCAAAGGGCGTGGCCCAGGGGAGCACTGGACTGGGAGGGGAAGTCGCGGTGCAGGATCAAGTCACAGAAAATGAGAGGAGGAGGAGTGCTCCTGGGGAACAGTCGCCCATAGTTCTTGTGACTGTTCCCATTATTAACAAAGCTTTTGGCCAGGCGTGGTGGCTCAGGCCTGTAATCCTAGCACTCTGGGAGGCAGAGGCGGGCGGATCATTTGAACTCAGGAGTACAAGACCAGCCTGAGCAAGAGTGAGACCCCTGTCTCTGCTAAAAATGGAAAGAAATTAGCTGGACAACTAAAAAATATATAGAAAAAAATAGCCGAGCATGGTAGCACATGTCTGTAGTCCCAGCTACTCGGGAGGCTGAGGCAGGAGGGTCACTTGAGCCCAGGAGTTTGAGGTTGCTGTGAGCTAGGCTGACACCACAAAAAAAAAAACAAAGCTTTTCTTTAAATGAGGCTGCCTCGGGGTACAGGACGCAGTGTGTGGTCCATCAAAATTGCTCTCACTGGCCAGAAAGAGAGAAGCAAAACCATGACCTTATTTATGGGGAAGAAATGAAGTGGTTCTTTTGTTTTGGGGTGGGGCGCGGGACAAGGGGCTGTCTAACATAGATGACAGTCACTTTTGTGAAAACAATGCATGCTATTAAGAATTCCAGGCATTTGTGGTGATGGATGTGAGTTTTTAGTGCTGAGATTAACTTGACCTTATAGGCGTGGTCTTCATGAGCCCAGACACTGCGGATCTGACTGTTTTCTCTAAGTCCAAGGCTCCGTGTTTCCGTAATCTGTCGTATTCATCCTTGAAAACAGACTGAGGTCTAGATAGTTCCAGCACTCGACGAGTGAGCTTCCTCCCCAGGTTTGACTTCGGTATCAGAGTGCCTGCTTGAAAGTCCTCTCTCTCTGTTGCTATAGCACAACCTAAAAAGCCTCTGTGAGCAGGGGAATGATTTGAAAGCAGGCCTTACTGCCAGTCTTTCTCAATCCTGAATTATTTATTGGCTCCAGCTGCTCAGCTAGCGTCTCTCCACCTCTGAACTTAATCAAGTCAGTTACTCCTCCCTGGCCTTTCTGCGGTGGCATCCCTCTGTTCAGCCCGTACCGTGGTCAGTCTCTTCGCCTGGCTGCATTCCAACTTCAGCCTTCCCTCCTGTGTAAATAGTTGAGGAAAGGCAGCTCGGCCTGCAGAAATAGCTTTCTAGACATTCCTTTCTGCAGTTGTTCTCTGCTTCACCTCCTTGTCCTTCAAGGGGTCATCTGGGGTCATTTGGGACACCATGGCGAGAGCTGGTTTAAGTAATTCATTGAGAGAGGACACATTTGCCAGCCACAAAGTCTGATAGAAGTAACACAGGCTTGGGAGTCAAACAGGCCTTTGTGTGGTTTATTTAATGGTTCTGACCCACAGAGCCTATGGCAGTAATTAGGGACATGTCACGATTTCACAGGACTCTTGGGAAAGTGAAAAGAGGAATATCTGTAAAGTAGAATGTGAGCCCCATAAGGCCTGGCTGGGATCTTGCCAGAGTTATTCACTGCTTTGTTCTTCATCCCTGCGACAGTGCCAGGCTTGGGAGACACTCAGTGAGTAGCCAAGGAATGGAGGAACAATCATAATAAATACCACCCAGATCGGACCGTCGGGAAACACGAGCCTTCCACCTGCCTTCCCTTTTCTGCACTGTAATTCCAGCCTTACCCTGATGGGGCCTTTTTACCCTCATAGATCATTTCTCTGCACTAGGTAGGGATTTGAATTTTTAGTCACTCACTTTAACTTTTAATCCTATGGTGACTTGCTCTTGAAGTCCATCCTCTTTAAAACTGTATTTTTCATATTTTGGTTATTTTTAACTTAGGAAACTAGAACCTCGTAGTTAAATGGCTATGCTTGCACACATTAAAAGATTGTAGTAGATTGATTTTGGAGAGCAAGTTTTTAAAAGTAATTAACACAGGTAGACTTTGGGGAATTCTCGATAGTCATTGGCTATCACCAGCCAATTCCTGCTTCTAGATACCCATATGGAATCCTGTGATCCTTGCTTCTCTTACACGGATCAACTTTTTAGGGGGTCCCTCTTGGCTGCAGAGCCTCAGGTTCTTGCCTGTTACCCACAGACAAGTTTGTTTCTTTGGTTAGGACTCTGTCTAGGCTGCTGCTCCCTTCTGGTTGTTTCTACGCCTAAAACTAAATCTCTCCGACTAGGGTATCTCGAATCCAGACGTAGCATTTTGTTGTTCATCCTGCAGTTTACATTTCTCCTCTCTTGGAGAAGCCTCCCTCCTAGCCTTTCCCTCTGCTGATTTTCTTTGCTGGCCAGAGCCAGTCAAGTCAGCATTCTGCACACAGGGTCTCCCCAGTAGCGACTCGGCATGGTGGCTCAGGGAGAGATTTCTTTAGAAAGTGCTTCCTGACAGCAAAAAGAAGACTTAAAGCTGGGCTTAGCAATAGAAACAGAGTAGCCTTACCAAGCAAGAGCAGCTCACTGCTTGAAGCATTGGAAGAAGGAGCAAGAGAACTTGTCCCTAAGGAATTCTCTGCCTGGGGCCACTGAAGCTTGGGCCAGGGGGACAGTGTTCTCCCCTCTGGACTTGGGAAATTTCAGCAGGATACCTTTCCTACTCATGAGGACTAATTGTGAATAATTATGTTTCTACTACTGAAATGATTTTTTAATTCATTTAAAAAATCTGAAATTTTTCAGAGTTGGCTAATAATTCTATTTTCTGTAGTCTATATAATAGGGAAAAATCTAGTGATGCAGGCGCGGTGGTTCCATATCCTCGGCATGCTGATGTTCATCTGGTCATCTGCCCATCAGTACAAGTGCCACGTCATTCTCGGCAATCTCAGGAAAAATAAAGCAGGTGAGATCTCTTTTAGAGCCTCTGCATGTGCATTTTAACCCTCACAAGTTAGTTCTCTGCGTTCCTGCCTTCTTTTCCTTCCTGCCCTCATTAGTTGACTAGTCTATATCAAATATTCATTTTTTTGACAAGAGACCTCTCTGGGCCTTGATCTCCCCCACTGTAAAATGAGAGCCTTATATTGAAAGATCTCTCTGTCCCCATGCAGGCCTGATGTTCTGTGATTCTGTGCTGTGCCCACATTTTGAAGACCGGGCTGCACAGATGTATGTATCTGACCAGCCTGTGAGAGCTAATATCCCTCCAAGTTAGTATCAGTCCAGCCAGAGCAAAACACTTGACCTTTCAGTTAGCTCGTGTTGACTTATCACAGGTACAGTTTCCATTAGGCTTTTTGAAATATTAAAAATGAAATCATATTATTTAATATTTTATCACCAAGTACTTATTTTGTGCCAGGCCCTGTCGTAAGTGCTCTCCATAGAGCTTTACCATACCCGCATGAAATGAGTGCAGTCTAATCCTCATTTTACAGGTGGGGAAACTGAGGCACGAGGAGGTTAAGCAACTTATGTGAAGTTGCACAACTAGTAAAGGGGGGGAGCTGGCATTTGAGCTCATGCAGGCTGACTCTGGAGCCTGAGCTCTTAATGACTAACTTAGAGGACCACAGGGAGAACTGGCTTTCCTTTCGTTCATATGAGCAGCCGACAATATGACCTGAGTCTGTGACTTTTTGATATGCAGTGGATCGACAGTGGGAGTGTGGCAGGATGGTGGTTTGCACACGGGTGCGTGATAATTTTTTTCTAGTAGTTTCTGTGAATGATTGGGGAGTGAAAGTGGTAAAACTCTCCTTCCCAAACTTCAGATGCTCACGAAGGCTTCTTTTGCCATTTCAGGCGTGGTCATTCACTGCAACCACAGAATCCCTTTCGGAGACTGGTTCGAATACGTTTCCTCCCCCAACTACTTGGCGGAGCTGATGATCTACATTTCCATGGCCGTCACCTTTGGGTTCCACAACTTAACTTGGTGGCTAGTGGTGACGTATGTCTTCTTCAGCCAGGCCCTGTCTGCTTTCCTCAGCCACAGATTCTACAAAGGCAAATTTGTCTCCTACCCAAGGCATAGGAGAGCTTTCCTGCCATTTTTGTTTTAAGATAACCTCAGCCATGAAGAACGCAGACGAGGTGGCAGATTCGACCCCGAAGGACAGTGAAGTCAGAAAACCAAAGTACAGTTTCTGCAGAGCTGTCTGAAACCCTCTGTTCCATTTTTTTACCCCAAAAGTTTTCACTGAATGAACAATATATGAAGGTTCAAGAAAATGAATCTTTAAAGTGTCTTCCAAGAAGAAATAACTGGCAGATCTGGGATTGGTGTGTCTGCTCTCTGGGATGGTTTATGAAGCCGACAAACTGATAAAAAGTAGATGAGGATTCGCCAAGCTGCTCCACAAGCAAACTAACCATGAACATATAACATACAAACAGCTTCTCACATACACATACATACATACAAACAGCTTTTCATATACACAGACATACATACACAAGGGAAGAGATAAGATCACCTATGGCTAGTTCAGCCTATTAGGGAAAAGTGAACTGGACTATATAATAATATACTAGGTGCTCAGTAAATGTGTGTTGCATTTCAGTAAAAGCAGAGTAGCCTTTGAAAATAACAATAATATACAAATTTTACCCCAACAGTTTCAGAGGAAAATGAGTTTGTTGGAGTTCATTTATACTTTCACACATTATCATAAACATCTCCAGTTATCAATAGACATTTCCACTCATCCCCCCCCCTCAAATCATAGTCTAACAGAAAGTTTTGAAACCTCTTTTATTTGCCACTTTTTTGGTATCCTCTTGAAGGGAGTACTTCAAAAGTGAAAATATTGGAAAATAAATATTTTTATATTTATGCATAGCAAGCCTTTGTGAATGAAATCAACATACTCTGGATTGGATAGTACTGTAGCCTCGTTTACATGTAGTTATTCAAATTGTATTAATGTCTGTCTGTGTTTATTTCAACTAATAGAATGAATCTGAACATATTTAGGCATAACGTTTACATTTAAAATAGCTTATATTAAAATACCTGTGATCGATTCAGGGGGAAATAAATGCATGGTATCAAAGAAAAACAAAAACTTGAAAAATAAGACTACAGTCTGAGCATCACAGTAAAAACTACACATTTGTGTAGCATAAGATTTTCTGGCTTATTGGCTGGCGTATTAACTATTCTTTTTATGCAGATGTCCTATTGTAATGTAAGTACCAAAGTTTTGCATTTATGTGTACCTGCTATAAGGGAAAATGCCTCATTATGAACGAGATAAATATCAAATGCACAATCTAAGAATATCTCTCCGTACTCCAGTCCCTGGAGTTCTAAACCAAGGCATTAAACTGAGATTCTTTTTAATAGAACCTTAAATACATGCATGTCAAAGCACATTCAAAAGTTCTTACAATTCTGATGTAGCATTTTCTCTCCCATCAATCAAACACCACTTAATTAAGGTTAACCTGTTGCTCAGTCTATTCAAATAAATGACATATGCATTTTTACTTACTTAGAATTTGCCATACTCAGGAAGAAAACTATTTGTACGTTGGAAATGGAAAGCATATTGCAGTTTGGTCTTCATTTCCACACAAATGGCATGTGTAATGTTTAGTGACAAATTATTTGGGAGGGGAAATTGTATTTTATTGTAGCATGCAATTTCATACCCAGTTTAGACTAGGGATTTGGCTGATGTTCTGGAATCTCATTGTACTTTTACACAAAATAATGAGCATCTCCCACGAAGAACTCTGCCAGGGGTTGTGAGAAAGCTGCAGAATCCAGTTTCCCACTCCCTGGCCCTGCTGTCTCCGTCACATTTGTCACTGTTTTCTATTTTCCCTTTTCCTCCTTTGCATTGCTACGCAAAGAGAAAAGAGGAAATAGTGATGTCCTCATAGGGGTTCAAAAAAAAGTGACATGGCCTTTAGTGAAAGCTTAACCACTAGAGAATAATTGAGAATTGTGATTTGCTTGTGATGTCAGAATAAGCACTGGTTTTTGTGTTAGTGAAAACATTCCGTCTGCCTACAGGGAGCACCAGAGAATGTGCAGATTCTTCATCAGGATGATCCAGAAATGGCTTGGAGGTAGAGATTCTTGATTTTCCTGTTGGCTCAGTCGCATAGCCTTAATCTTTCATTCTCTGATATTGTTATGCTAGGGGAAAGGATGTCAAACTACCTCATCAACAGCATTGGCTGGATTAACTACTGACTATAAAAGTATGCTAAAAATAAGCCTTTGTTTTCATTGCGCCTCCAAGTTGTAGCTCATCCTACATGCTAACATTCGCTTATAGTGAGCATGGATTATTTTGTCTCTGCAAAGCTGTGTTCTGTATTATGCTTTTAATTCAATGAATGGTTATTGGTAGAATTCCTACCAAAAAAAAAAAAAAACAAACAAACAAACCTAGAAAAGCCTTTATAGATAATTTCCTATGCAGTTCACTAGACATTCAGTTTAAGGAGACTGTAACCACTTGCATAACTAAAACTACCTGGAAACTCGAGAAGAGTTGATAAGTGAAGTATCTCAAAATGATCTCATATATTAAAGTAGACTTTAGGCCGGGCGCGGTGGCTCACGCCTGTAATCCTAGCTCTCTGGGAGGCCGAGGCGGGCGGATTGCTCAAGGTCAGGAGTTCAAAACCAGCCTGAGCAAGAGCGAGACCCCGTCTCTACTATAAATAGAAAGAAATTAATTGGCCAACTGATATGTATATAAAAAATTAGCCGGGCATGGTGGCGTATGCCTGTAGTCCCAGCTACTCGGGAGGCTGAGGCAGAAGGATCGCTTGAGCCCAGGAGTTTGAGGTTGCTGTGAGCTAGGCTGACGCCATGGCACTCACTCTAGCCTGGACAACAAAGCGAGACTCTGTCTCAAAAAAAAAAAAAAAAAAGTAGACTTTAATAAATGAGCAAGTAGAAATTTTTGACTCCTATAGCCTATCAAAGCAATTTCTGCCCATACTCTTTTGCATTACTTATCAGACAAAAGCCGTTCTGCTGGTTTTTATAAATATATTAGTCTAACCTAAGATTTTTCTGCTAAGTGAGAAACTAGAGCTGGCGATGATCCATAAATATCTCAAAAAGCAGTGATCTCCTAGAAAGCCAAGTATTGATTTGGGGGGGAGAAAAATGTAATTATCCAAATGAAAACTGTATTATCAGGAGCTGCTCTATGCTCATAATTGAGGAAGTATAATATTGAGTTTTTTCAGTACTCTGTTCAGTACTCTGAACACTTGAAGCAATTTGAGGATACAAGTCCGCAAGGGATTTCTCAACAAAAGGACAATTTGCCCTCAAGTCCAGCCCTCTGGCTGAAACCTCAGAGCACTGGTGCAGTCTTCTCAGAGGTCCCTGGCACGCACAGAGCCTTTCTGGGAAGTGGAAAAGGCCGAACTCAAGGAAGAGCCCCATGGTAACAGGGTATGGGCCTCTGTGGGCAGAAAAGCCAGCTGGGGATGGTGCTGCAGCCCAGTGAGCAGAGCTCAGGCTGCGTCTCAGCCCCACTTGCCCCTCAACCTGCCATGTTTTGTGCAGTGTACATCCTGCACACCCTTCCATAGAGACCCTGTTCATCATGCTGCCTGCGTGTCTGCAGATACTGTTCACTCTTGGCGGAAAAAAAGACTCGATTGCACGGAATCAAAGAATAAACTAGAAGAAGGGAGAAGTAAGCACTCTATGCAAAATGCCTTGTCCTCCCACACACAAAAAGGGGAGTTTGGTGGCTAGCAGGTAAGTGACCCTCAAACAATAGAATGTTCGGATGCTAGAATGCTGACTCCAAACAGAAATAATGTTTTGCTTCCTTTGTCACTACCAACTCCTGTCTTACCAGCTCGTGGTTCTGCTACTGCAACTCCAACAATCTCTCAACCCTACTGGGACCTCCAATCTATTGCTCTCATCACACTTTTACTGCCCTTCGCCTCCCATAATTCTTCTCTTATCTCTATACCCTGCTTAGATTCCAAGTAAATCATTACCATTAGTCCTTTGTACCTATCCCCAACTCTCTTGCCTCCTTACATTGCTTTTGTTTACTTATTTGGCAAAGCTACAAGCTGGATTAAATGCAACTCTTCCTGTTCTATATGCACACCTCTCAGTTGAACTATGCCTGGAGGAATCAGTGCATTAACAGGTCACTTTAAATTCATGACCACTAACCTCAAGTGGCCTTTAATGCTGCAGTCATACTAAAATGCCCTAGTCCGTTCACTCTACCATGCTCCTAACTATTTGACGTTTTCTCTGTCCTCAGAAAAGTAAAGCTATTGGAAACACTTCCCACGGAGTACCACGTCCACCCACCTAAGCATCTGTGTGTGTGTGTGTCACATTTCCTCTTGTTCCTATTATTGAATGATACTTTTTTAAAAAGAATGTACTATCATGAATATAAAGTGAACACATCCCAAAGATTTTGTTTAATTCATTAATAAAGAAACCAGTAAGATGTTGGAGCCAGTTCAAAGAAGAACCCCAAAAGCAGATACATGCATGGGTGATCAGGCATGGCGAAATTAGTTCGTTCAGGAGTTGCAGGACTGGCCTCCGTCACGGGGGAGGAAAATTAGGTGTGTCTCCACTGGACAAATTCATTTGTATGTCTATAGAAAAGAGTTATTTGCATTCCTACCAGTTGGCTACAACTCACAGAGCTGTAATATAGCTCAAAGATAATGAGAAATGAAGATAATTCAAAGAATGTGCTAGAAAGGACACCAGTACTAATTTTTGCTCATTTCAAAATTATTTACAATTTTTGCCTGAAACTGTAAACAAACTTTGGATTTCTACCCAAAGCAAGACCCAATCTTTGAGCACTGGGTTCAATTCTCTTTTACTTACTGCAGACATTACTTGGCTTTTCTTCTATCATCGAGTTTTTGCCCTCATTTCAACATTCCCATCAGAAGACAAATGTCTTTTTAAAACCTCTAACACCATTTCCCTTACCCAATACCACCTGATTTCTCTGGTTTCCTTGGCAGCAAAACTCTTGGAAAGATTCATCTATTCTTACTAGCTTCAGTTCTTTGCATCCCACTGCTAAACCCACTCCTGTCACTTTTTTAGCCCTCGGGACTCCACTAAACTGCACTTGGAAAGGTCACCGGCGAGCATGCTGCTAAATCCTGCAGTCGGTCGCTTCTGGGTGTGCATACCAACATAGCAACAGCAGTTGGTTATTTCATCTTGATACATATTCTTTAATTGGTTCCAAGACACTGCACTCTCTGGGTTTTCCTCCTACCTCCCTGGCTGTTCTTCCCAGGTTCCCAGCTCATCTCTCTTGCCCAACGTCTGAATGTCAGAGCATCCCAAGCCTCAGTTCTGGGTCTTTCTCTATCGATACTTAGTGATCTCATCCAGTCTTGTGACTTTAAATACTATTTATGTGCTGACGACTCCTAAATTTATAGATCCAGGACAAACATCGTTCCTGAGTTCTGGACTCGTATGTTATTGCCTACTTGGCATCTCTACTGGATGTGTAATAGATTTCTCAAGTTCAACATCATTACAGGTGAATTTCTGGTTTTCCTCCGCCCCACACCAGATCCACCCACGGGCTTCCCATTTTCTCACTTAACTCAATCGACAGACCATGGAGTCTTCCTGGACTCTTCTCTTTTGCTCGCACTCCACAAACCAGCCAGTGGTTCTACCTTCAGAATATGTCCCGAATCTGTCTCTGTTCTCATCACTCTGCTAACCACTGTCCTGATTTAAGCTGCCATCATTTCTTGCCTAGATTATTGCAACTGACTCCTAATTGGTCTCCCTGCTTTCTGCCTTATTCCCTACAGCCGATTCTCAGCCCACGCCAGAGTGATCTTTTATTTTTTTATTTATATTTTTTAAGACAGAGTCTCACTCTGTTGCCCTGGCTAGAGTGCTGTGGCGTCAGCCTAGCTCACAGCAACCTCCAACTCCTGGGCTCAAGCGATCCTCCTGCCTCAGCCTCCCGAGTAGCTGGGACTACAGGCATGCACCACCATGCCCAGCTCATTTTTTCTATATATTTTTAGTTGGCCAATTAATTTCTTTTTTTTTTTTAGTAGAGACGGGGTCTCACTCTTGCTCAGGCTGGTCTCAAACTCCTGAGCTCAAACAATCCTCCCACCTTGGCCTCCCAGAGTGCCAGGATTAGAGGCGTGAGCCACTGTGCCGGCTTCAGTGAGATCTTTTAAAACATAAATCAGACCATGTCCCTACTCTCTCCAATCCTGGCAACAGCTCCCAGTTTCTCTCGGATTAAGGCTACAATTAAAATAATGCGCTAGGCCCCATATGATCTGGTCACTTGTCTCGCCTCCTCTCCCCGCTGTTCTTGCCTCATTCATGCTTCCTGCACACAGGCCTCCGTGGTGTTCCTCACACACATCGATCATGCTCCTGGTCGGGGCCTCTGCACTGGCTGGTCCCTCTGCCTGGAATGCTCTCCCCCACATGGCCACGTGGCCTTCTCCCTCAGCGTGTTCACGTCTTCCTGCACATGTCACTCACTGTATTCGTTCTGCTGCTTCGTAACAAAGTGCTCCAAATCTCAATAGCTTAAAACAACAACCATCTACTATCTCATAGTTTCTGGGGTCTGGATTCCAGGCGCAGCTTAGCTGGGGGGCCTCTGCCCCAAGGATTCCCTGCGGTCAAGGTGTCGCCAGGGCTGTGGTCTTTCTGTAAGCTCCACAGAGGGGGGACCTGCCTCCAAGCTCCCTCCCATGGTTGCTAGC